TTGCCTGGAGCAAGAGGCACCCAGCCTGCGTACAGCCAAGCCTCATCCTTCGGTGATGAATTCAGATTGTAAGCTCCTTGGGACATAGCCCATACTACTGCTGGTGGTAGGTGTATAATGAACTGCAGCAGGGGCAAGTCACTGCAGAATGGGCATGGCAGGTGAACTCAGAGAGCTGTCAGCCTCAGTTCCATCCAATTCTCTGATGTTTCCCACACACTCCTGTGTACCTAATATGAAAGCTGCAAGTCAGCAGAGACGTCGGTCTGTCTCCAGACTCAAATAATAATCCAGTGTCTCAGGCAGCAAGTCAATCCAAACAAGTTCTTCATTTGTCTAGCTCTCGCCTGGCTGCCCTGCCGTACATTTGTAAGTGTTTATGCTGAGCTAATTTCTGCCATTTCCGTCTCTGGTTGCTGGAATGCTTGAAATTCCAAGAGCTGTCGAGACTGGGTTCTGGTGCCGAGCTCCCCAGGACAGACAGGCGCGAAGGGGAGCTTTGCTGGAAATCCCTAGTGCCAGAAGAAAGCAGGACATGAGCAGGATGTGCTGTTGCTGCACATGTGGCTGACCAGCTCAATGACAACAGCCCGACAACATGAGCAATGTGCAGGGCCCCAGTCTGAGTCTGAAAGAAACAGCTGGACTCCTGGCATGGGATGTGGAGTCTCTGCTGGTGGACACAATGCTGAGTGGTACGCTCCAAGCATCAGGTTGAAGGCAAAAAGGAGCATCCACAGATGCTGAGAGCTCTGAGGAGAGGAGGCATGGAGCAAAGCTGGGGGTGATGGTTTTGGCAGCTGGTGCCTCCAAGAGATGAGACTGTAGAAGAGGAACTTGTGCCCTTGACCTATCTGAGCTCTGGCATCAGATGCTGAGAGCCTGCTCTAGGGGAAAGCACATCCGCAGTTCAATGGTACTGCCCTCATTCAGAACAGCACACCTCTCCCCTGTCCCAACGGCAGCCCAACCTCAGCACATGGTGGGGGCTGGGTTGTTCTCATGTGTGGTCTCCAGCATGTGGGGCCTTTTAAGGAGCAGCAAAATAAGAATGGATCCAACAGAATTAGAGAGAAAAATGGAAGCTCGGGGCCTCTCCAGCAAACCTGAATTTCTGCCAATGTACACAAGTGCCTGATGGCCTCCAAGGGGATCCTGTAGCCCAAACAGGGGCGTGAAGCTGGGATTTGCTGGTGGCATGGGAAGGAAGAAGACGGGGGATACATTCTTTGCTGCCAACTTTCATATCCACCTGGAATTAATCTGATGAAAGCCAGACAGGCATCCATCTGAGCACCAACAACAGACAAACAGCCATCTCAACCAGTGTCCTGCTCCCCTGAACCCCTGCTGCTGCAGGGACAGTATGCCAAGCCATGGAATCAGGAGCCCCTGGCACATAATGGCCATTTCTGACAGGCTAGTGCACTCCCCAGCTATCTGCTAAGAGCCCAGGTGGTGATTTCGTGTTTGCAGGGTGAAGCCTGCTTCCTATACGCTGGCTATGTGCCCTCTGCTGCCATTGATGGCCAAGACTTCCCATGTAGGGCTCAAGGGCACTGTGTGCCCGCCTGAGTGATAAATGCCACGCACTTAGCAATGTGGGATTCTCTTCCTGACAGTCACCCGCCCTGCAGAGTCAAAGGGCAGCACCAGATCCAGCCATAAGGATCCCTTGAAAGACTCTGGAATGTGCATCCCCTACCCCATCCAGTTCTCTGAGATCAGGGAGGGGCTGCTAGGCCTCAAGCTCATCAAATTCATTGGTTTGGGATACCCAGGGCCTGGTGAGGGGTGGGTGTGGGTGTGCAGTTCTTATACCCCTTGGTAGCCCAATGAAAATGCCATGAGCAGGTCTGGATAAAGGGAGCAGGGAGAAAGGGGAAATAGGGGATGTGCAGAGAGAACACGGGGATAGGAGCGGCACAAAGGGAGCAATTATGGTGATACAGGCCAGAGGATCACCAGAAACCAAATACTGTGGGGGGCCGGGAGAGAAAAGTGTGCATGTAGAAGGCCCTTCTGGTGCATTTCCTCATTTGTACTGAACCCATCAATCCTGTGATCCTTTGCATAGAGCACATGCTCATGCTCATCTCTTGGCACAGACTGGGGCCAGCAGAGAGAACCAGGCAGCACAAAATGGGGCCATAGAAGAGTCCCACGGAGTAAGAGAGTCACAGCGACTCAGAGCACCTCCGTCTTACATTGATGCTGGGATCCTAGTCCACATTTCAGGGAACATGGCTCCAGCTAGCACAGCCTGTGACTGAGAAGAAACCAGTCCAGCCTCTCAGACGAGTGTCCTCCCAGCAAGAGGCAGCACAGGGAAGGGAGAAAGACCTAAATGAGTAAGTAAATGCACACAAGCAGCAGGCGGGCCCGACTCAAAGCTCTGCCAACAATCCTGTTCCATGTAACTGTTCCCCTTTACTCCCCTTGTCTCTTTGGGGGTCAAACTGTCCAGCTCGCTGAGGTCTACTTCCACTAGTGCCTATGGTAGAAGGCGAGGAGAGATGAGACAGGCAAGAGCCCCATGTCTGACTGAAGCAAGAAGGCATGAGCTCAACAGTGCCATGCCCACTGTACTCCATAGAGCAGCTGGCACAGGACAGAGCTCCCCATACCCCAAGGATTCTCCCACAGCCAGCTCCCCTTTCTCACCAAAAACCAGAGAGCACCCTCCTTCTCCCAACTCCCCACACTAGGTACCCCAGGCCGTTCTAGTCTGGATCAGCCCTGCCAATAAGCCTGGTCCCTCTTGGCACACCCTCTCCAACCTCAGTGCCTGGCACTCAGAACCGTTCACACCATGCTGGCCTGGACGTTAAATCCCCAGGCCTCCGTTCCTGTCTCAGTTCCTGGGGCCAGCGCACTGCCTTCTGCGACGTCAGCATGCCGGGGGAACGAATCTGTCCTGCCCAGAAGGCAGCAGCGATCTCTTACAAGGCTCTGAACAGAGGCTGATCTAATCCTAATAAGGAACCCTAGGGCACAGGCTCCCTGCTCTCGTAAAGCCCTGCTGGGACTGTAGGGAGAGCTGCAGCCTGATGCCCCACACACCAAGGCTATGTCTACCCTGGCGGGTTGTTGTGCCAGAAATATGCAAATAAGGCTAAGCGTGGAATATCGTCGAGCCTCATTTGCATACCTAATGAGCCGCCATTTTGTGGAAGAAGCTCTTGCGCCAGAAGGAGCGTCTACACTGCCCCTTCTTGCGCAAGAAAAACCCTCTTGCGCAATGCCACTACGCTGATTATTTTCAGGAATAACGGCATTGCGCAAGAGGGTTTTCCTTGCGCATGAAGGGGCAGTGTAGATGCTCCTTCTGGTGCAAGAGCCTCTTCCGCAAAATGGCGGCTCATTAGGTATGCAAACGGGGCACGGCGATATTCCACGCTTAGCCTCATTTGCATATTTCTGGCACAACAACCCGCCAGAGTAGACATAGCCTAAGAGCAGGGACTTAGCATCTGTCACTCCCTCTTCCCAGAGTGGGGAGAGGGTATTCCTGCCATCCCGCAAGGCCCAGGCCGGGCATAGGCGGAGAGGGTTAGAGAAACTCTAGCAACCCCGGTCGATATCCCCTGGCAAGCTCTCTAGCTGGTTAACCACGGCGGGGATGGAAGGAGCCTGGGAGGCAGGGGCAGACCTGGCTGGCTGCGCACAAGTTTGAGTGCTTATTGGCAGCAGCTATTTGGCCACATGAGACTCTCCTTTCCTATGCAATAATCTTCTCCTCAGACTGCCGGCCAGCTTCACACACACACCCCTCTGTGGGACTGAAACCTGACCTCCACTCAGGGAGCACCAGGGCCATCTTACCAGCCCTGCACCTGCTAGGGGGGCACTGGGCCCCATCATGCCAGCGGGTGAGGAGCACTGGGTCCAATCATGCCACAGGGGAAAGGCAAGACCCAGTTCCTGTCCCACTGAGGAAGGGGGGGAAGGAGACAAGCACCATGCCCCATCCAGCATTCCACAAGAAGCATGGGAGCACAACACTAAGCCTATCTTGCCAAGCAGCCAAGATCACTGCTCCTGCAGAGAGGGGGCTGAAGTGCTCAGCACTCCCTTCCAGGCTACAGGGTACTGCACCCTTATTGGCATCACAATCCTGAAACTTCCTCCTGTCCCTAAGCACATCTCTCCCCCTGGCCTTGGTGGGGAGGGCTCATGCCCTCAGGCTTGAGCTCATAGGCGTGTCTGCCCACATGGAGGGCAGCAGGCCTGAACAGTGCAGGAGTCACCACCCAGTTCATGGGAAAATCTCCCTTCCTCTCCAGGGTGGGGAGGTCCTTCCCAGAGACCACAGCACCCCAATGAATGATCCCCACAGCGAAGGCCCAAGGTCCTAGCCGAGTGGCTGAGGATTCCCCTGTGCTGGATCAGTCTGTTCAGCTCTTGGGAGCAAAAAAATCAGAGCTGGATTCTTGTGTCCCTGGAATGGACTCCAAGCACACTCCTGCCAATTGTTTGATGTAGTGTTATTTCCAGAGCCCCTGCCAAGCCCGCGCAGGGCCTAGAACAGGCCCGTAACTCTATCAGTTGAGTCTGCAGCCTTGTTGGTTAATCTAGAGCTGCACCTCCTAAAACCTCGGCCATTGTTTTACTGTTTCTCCCTCCTAATGTATCTGGCATGGAGTGAGCCACAGGCTGCATTGGACTTTTACAGAGGCGGTTTGGGGGGAAAGTGCTGGGCACTGAGCCAGTGCTCAGACCAAACTGCTCCTCCCAGCACACGGGCTGAGGTTGGAGAGAGCAAGCATCACCCAGACACCATGTTAGATGCACCCTCCTTCCCAGAGGTCTTCAAGCAAAGGACAACCACATTCCAAGAGGCCTGAAATGAGAGGAGCCATGTGCTTCCTCAGCTGATTGCAGAATCCTCATTCTCTCTGGATTCCCCCCACCTTCTGTAGCATGTGTGGAGAAAGTCCAGCTCTGGGTACCGTGAAGCGAATAGTCCCCATAAAAGCTTCCCCTGCAACAGCACTTACCTGGTCTGGGGGGGCATGGGATGCACTGGTTCATGCCCCAGAAGAGCCCCACGCTGCCACAGCAATCCTCAAGCCTGGTAAGGCCTGCCAGCGGGTTAGCACACTGAAAAGGGAGGAGGAAAGGAGGCATCAGGATTCTCCAAGTGAGGAGAGCAAAGCAGCACAGGGGAAGGCTGCCTTGCACTAGACACTGACACAGCCATACCAGCAAAACTCCCTGCAGGGGCAGAGCAGGGCCAGGAACATGGTTTAGACAGTAAACAGTCTAGCAGACAGAAAAACATGAGCCTCTCTCTGAATGCCCCCTTGGAGGGGCTGGGGGCTCGGAACAGCACAGAGCATGACCCATGGACGATCACGCAGCAAAGCCTGGGATAAGGCCAATGACTGCTGTAAGCCACCTGGCGATTAACCAGCGAGATGGGTGCCCAGCCCCAGCCCCACATGGGGAGCTTCTGGTCAGATGCTTTTGTTTGCTTAATGAGCCTCTTTCCCGCTCTGGATTACGGGCTTCCCCACGAGAGCTGAGATGTAGCCCACAGGCCAAATCTGGCCCCCGTCCATCTGAGACATGGCCTTGTGCCCAGTGCTCACATTCCAATCACCTCTGCTTCAGACCCAGACGGAAGAGAAAAACGCTTCCTGCCTGGGCTCCTCACTGTCACCCAGGTTACTCAGCCACAGCGCCAGTTAAACAAGGCAAGTGCAGCCCCTCTCTTCTCCTCAGAGTCACAGGTCCCAGAAGAGCACCAATGTATCTCCAAAGGGGCTTCCTTTAACATGGCACTTGGAGGGGGAGCCTCTTGGGACTGAGGTTCAGTTTAGAGAGCTCTCCATCTTCACATCGCTGAATTGGGCTTTTCCGGCCCTGCATTCACATGTGAAATGTTTGGGGCCTGATCTCATTTATTTTTCCTTTAGGAAATCGCTGAGAATTAAGTCCAGCTAAAAATGTCTTGGACGGAAAGGAACAAATGACTGGAAATGTACCAGGAATGGACTGAGAGCAAGTGTGGTATTCATGGTACTGGGGGAGAAGCAAGAGTATAGGTACATCAGACCAGAGGTCTCGCTCAGAGCTCACCCATGGGAATTAACCCGTGTTAGACTGGGAGACAGAAATCTCCAAAAGGGAAAGGCAAACTAATAAAATCCAGTTAGTGCAGGGGAAAGACTAGAGAACTTGCCAGGGACATTTGCTTCCTGAGTTCGACCAAGATGCATAGAAAGGTGACAGCCCATGAAAATCAGACCTTCATTTACTGCGTGACAGGGAGAGACATTTTCCTACCTTTGCTACCCAGTAGTCAGAGCGCTGCAGTAAACATTTCTATTTGAAGGACACTGTATGTGAGAGATGTCAGGGCTGAGCTACATGGGCACAGGGCACAAGAGGGTCCAGGCAGTGGCCCCAGATGCCACTGGGGTGCCTTCTCTGGATCACATCCAAGCACTACACCACTTCAGCTGCACACACAGTACACAGATACAGCACATGCACCACTCACACGCCCACGCCTGCAAGCTATAGTCACAACTTGCACACCAGAATGCCTCATACACACTGCACCATGCAAACCTCTCCATGTTCTACATGTGCACACATACCACACTCATGTTCACACACACACAGCTCTTCACACCCTGCTAAAGAGGGATAGGTGTAGCCCTTACCTGTCCATGCAGCATCTCCCGGAAACACTTTCCTAGAAGCTCAGAGGACGGCTGCTGCTGGCCATTCTCTGTGGTGATGCTGTTGCTGTTCCCATTGCTGTGGCTGTACTGTGGCCCAGTGGGTAGCTGAGACATAAGTACAGTCTCCACACTGTTCTCCTCTGACTGGCCCGATTCGCCCCTCACCCTGGCCACCTGGTGGATCTGCACAGTGGCCTCTGGCGGGTGATTGATGTGAACATTCACCAGGGAAGGATTTAAGGAAGCTGGAAGATGAGTTTAGACCAACATTGTGACAATTCAGCTATGTTTGCCCAGGTACCCTACTGGAACTGGGAGCAGCTCCTTGTTTGCCAGTCACTGTGGAGGGGACTCTGACCACTGAGGCTACTCTGGGACAACTATATTGGTAAATTCAGAGAAAAGCAGTGTCATGCAGGAAAATGTCTGCCCAGTTTCCCAGCTAGGCAAACCCCTGAGAGAGGGGAGAAAGATTAAATGCACCAGCCAAGAGAGTCCAGTATTCCCACAGCAGCATGTGCACAGACAGCACGCAGTATTTAGTTTACTTAGCATGGGGAGTCCAAACAAGCCCTCAAATTCCTACTGACTTCAGTCTTGTGGCTGGGCCCATGGCCCTGCAGGCACCTCAACTCTGGTATTCCCTGACAGTCGTGTATTGAAATTCCTACCCTGAGCATTGCAACAGCAGGGCAGTGGTATTTAATTCCCCTGGTACTTCTCCAAGTGTGAAAAGGGCACAGCACTGGGGCCTGCTGCCTATGGGCGGCTGAGGCTTTGCACATTCAGGATTGGCTCATCAGCACACACTCTCACGCTGGTCTGTCACTATGTGCTTGCACAAACTCCCTCTCATGCATTTGGGCGCTTGTACCCCTTCCTGGGTCCTCCCAGGGAGCCCCTATTCTAAGGGTTGCCTGATCCGCAGAGCAGGAGGGTGAGGCCACTGCAATACCGAGAAACCTGGACGTGGTCAGAGGTGTGTTCTCACACATGGGTGCGAGAGAGACCTGGACAGCTTGGCAGCAAGGTGGGTGGGTTTTCGGCTTCCTGGGTGGAAACTGGTGCTAGGCTGGGGGGAAGGGCAGGCACAATATTTTAAATTAACAACAATCACTCCATCCTATACTTCAAGTGTGGAAGATAGGGATGAGTGAGAGGGAGGGGGCTGTCCAAGGTGCAGAGAGTGTGTCAGGATTAAAGGAATCCACTGCTGGGACCAACCCCTTACCTCCTTCCTCCACTGACTCCAGAGCTAGCCCCATCCCTTCCTCTCCGTTATCTCCCCCAACCAGAGCCCTCCCTCGCCTGCCCCATGAAACCTGCCCTCCCGCCCAGTAATGTTCTAGTCTCCTGGGCACAAACAGCCTAGCAGTTGGGCCCAGATACCCAAGAGGGCTGCTCTCTAAGTCACATGTGCAGGCAGCCCAAAAGGGAGGGTGGCCCAGTCCCAGGCTCACCGAGCTGGTTGGACAGCGGCAGCGTGTACATGGACTGCTTCATGGAGCCGCTGGCCAGGGTCTTTGGGACTCTCCCCGCTTGTTTTTTTTCCAGCTTTGGAACTGGCAAGTGGCAAAACTTCCCTGTGGAGTTAGATGGGCACCAGCACTCATCCCTGCCTACGCAGCGCCCTCCGTTCAGGCAGGGGATCTGGCAGAAATCTGTAAGGCAAAGAGACACTTGCTTAACAGAGAAGCCCCACTAGCCCCGCTGGCCAGCATCAACTCTGGGATCCCAGACAAGTGGCCTCGCCTGGAGGCAGCCTTGCAACAACCAAGCAGCAGGCTCAGCACAGTAGCAGGCTCCTCATTTCCTGAAAGCAGCCTTGTGGCAGCCTGGGGTTGGCCACTGAGGGTCATTCTCACCAGCGGACAGCAAGAGGAGACACCACAGAGTAGACCCTCCTTTAGCTCAGAATGAAGTGAGTCTCATTCAGTCAGAGGCTGAAGATCTGCTCTCCCTTGGGCTTTGTCCCTGTGGCTGGTGAGAGAGAGATCCAGACACACCCTGCCCCAAAGCCCCACAGAGCCGGGGGATATTGCTGGCGCCAACAGGATCTCTTGGAGCGGGCTGGCGACTAATACAGCAGCACTCCGTGAAGTGGGAGAAGAGTTTGATACTGAGGGCAGAGATCAAGAAACCTGGTTTGGTGGGGTTACTATTCACAAGCCAAAGGGCAGGGGAGCTCAATGGGAATGGAAGCAGTGAACGGTCAAAGGACTCTGAGTTTCAGGCCTCTTTTAGGGCTTGTCCAATGTTTGCAGAAGCTTATGAAGTACCAGAATGGGGTGGGACGGGGGAATCATAAGGGAAGCAGGAGCCATTTGTCTGCACTGCCTCAGTGAAACATCTGCAGATGACACCCCAAGTGACTCCTTTCAGTCCTCATCCCAGGGCAGGACTGAAGCAGATGACCCAGGGCCTAACCTAATCACTTATGTGCCTGGGGTTTTCTTACAAGTCAACCTCTCTCCTGGATCAATGAGACATTCCTGCCTAGGTCCCTTGGTGGCTGCAGTGCTTCTGAAACAGCTAATCTTACCTCCATAGGATTGCCAAGGCTAGCAAATGAGAAGTCCTGTTAAGGTCCATGTAGTCCATCCCACCACCCTGGGGACCGGTGGCTAAGTGGATCCCTGGTGTGAGGGGCAGACGACTTGCCCAACTCACTGGATGGCAGAGAAAATTCATGGGCAATCCCAGCATCCAGGAAACGAGAGGAAAGATTCCAGCAGCCCTGTTCATTGAAACAGCTTGCAATCTGCAGCCAGTTCTCCTGGCTGCCACATGAGTGAAAGGAGAGAGTGGGATGAAATTAAGTGATGAAAGGCAGCCCCGAGATTGAATGCCAATTAAAGCCTGAGTGAGGGTGAGACTGAGAGACCTGTCAGCATCCCTGACTGAACTCCCACCCCCCTGAAGAACGGGAGGAGCAGGGTGGAGATGAGGTTCCCCCCTCACAGAAGAGGGAGTAGTGGGTGAAGTCAGGCCCCCTGGAGAAGGAAATTGGGTGAGGGAGACATTGTTCTGAGCACAGGAAGAAGCCATGGCCTGGGTCTGTAGGGCCTATTGGAACAGGAGGAGCAGCCCAGGCAGGGAGGAGACTGAACCCCTGGGATACTCACAGATGCGAAAGCCAGACTTGGGATCATGATTCTGCCCCCCCTGGCTATAGAGGGTGGTGGTGTCCCCTTTCTCACAGCTGTTGTAGCAGCGGCCATTCTGGCACGTCTGTTTGCAGATCGTGGGAGTGAAGACAATTTTTATCTTCCGGATTTTCTCTGTCAGGTTGGCCCCTGTGAAGGAAAAGGCCAGTGCAGAATGAAAGTGGCACGGCCAAATGCCAGCAAAATCTGCACCCCAGCAGGACTTGCACATAGCAGGCCAGGCACCAGGACAGCTGTGGCTGTCCACTGCTGTGCACCCTCTCCAATTGGGCTATTGCTCTGCTATCACTAGGAGGGAGGGGTGTCTTCTCTCCCTGGGGGTCTAAATTGTTGCTTCTTAGCCTTTTTTGGATGTAGCTAATGTCACTTAGAAGCAGTATAAGCTGAAGTGGAAAAAGACTACTCATAATGGAATAAGACCCACAGGGGGTCCTACCACTATAGCTGTACAGGGACAATTATACCTGTACCTTTCCCCATGTAGTCAAGCCCTAACTGGGGCATTTCCTGGCTTCCAGATGTTTCACTGTTCACCTTTCTTATTTCCTTAGCAGCATTTTCCGTGGAGAATTTCCTAGGTGTTTGTTATTTAAAGATAGAAAAAACACCCCCACCCCACCCCAGTTAAACTCTTCAGCCCAGGGAAAAGGAGCGGGCTCTCTCCAGGCCTGCTGTGCTTTGCTGGCTGGCAACAAACAGGCAGCAGGGCATGGCTGGATGCCACCACTGTTCACCTTTCTTATTTCCTTAGCAGCATTTTCCGTGGAGAATTTCCTAGGTGTTTGTTATTTAAAGATAGAAAAAACACCCCCACCCCACCCCAGTTAAACTCTTCAGCCCAGGGAAAAGGAGCGGGCTCTCTCCAGGCCTGCTGTGCTTTGCTGGCTGGCAACAAACAGGCAGCAGGGCATGGCTGGATGCCACCTGCACATTCTGTACCGCACTTCTCAAGGACTGGCGCTGGAAGCAGAAGCGCGGAGGTACTGCAGCACCCCCAGGCTTTATGCCCAGCATTGCTCTGTGTCGGGGCCCTGTCCACCAGCCCATGCCTAAGGGCCCCGCTGCCACTCAGCGGCTCTGCTGCCAGCTCCACTACCCCAGCCACTGACAGGGTTCCAGTTATCAGCCCATCTGCCTCTTGGGATCACAGATCCTGACCACCTGCCCTGGGATGCCAGCTTTCATCCCTGCTGCCACCCGACGACCTGGCCACCAGCCCTGGTACTATATGGGGTCCTGGCTACTGGTCCTGCCCTTGGGGGTTCTACTGCTTCCCAAGGTTCAGGTTACTGGCCCTAGGGCTCTGCTATTGGCCTTGGCCCAGGACTCTGCAGCTGCCCCCAGCTGTGGCCCAGCCTGGATAGTAAGCGGCACAGGCAGGAGTGAGCGGGGCCACAGCTCAGCACCCCTCACCCTACACATTGTTCCAGCGCCAATGATCTCAAGGAGGCCCACAGGAGTGAGCCCCTATCACACACAGACCTTAGGATCTAGCTGCCCAGCTGGAGAGGGCACTTTCAACCCTCCCTAGCTGTGCTTGGGTGGGGTTCGCTCCTGGAAACCTCATTTAGGCTGTCTCCAGCAGCCTTACCTGGCTTCTCTGCACTTTACAAGACCTATGGGGGCCAGCCAAGAGAAATAACCACATGGAGGTTATACAAATTAGACCTCCACAGCCGAATTAGAGGGCAGAGAATTGCTGCATCCCTGCTCTCCAATGATACTAAGAGAGAACTGACTCAGCCAATGTCCTTAGTATGAAATTCCCAGCCCAGGTTAGTGTCTCTTGGAGCATTTATCACATCTCCAAGCCTTCTGTCTTCCCTACTCTCTGCATTTTGCTCCCTCAATCTACTCTTGAGCAATGAGGCTTCTTCTCCAATCCTTACAGCTTCTGTACTGGCGCTCTCAAGCTTTCTCTCTTCCCCGCCCTATGGTGCGTAGAGCTGCACCATCGTTCCAGGGTGCTCTGGCTCCAGAGCAGTGTGAGCAGCACTCTCTCTGTCACACACATGCACGCACCCATTATTGTTTTTTCTGCCCCCGTGCTGCTGCCCTAGGACTATAGGCTCCATCTGCTGATTTCCTGTCAGCCAAGCCTCCTGCACTCTTCCTCCACCCCAAGGTTTCTCTCTATGCTGCTTACTACTTCTCCTGGGGGTTGGACTTTCCACTCACGAGAACTGAATCCCAGTGTATTGCCTGAAACTCCTCCATTCTGAAAAGTGCTAGGCAGACAGTCTGGGCCTCCTGGGTATTGCTACTCCTCTGAGTTTGAAGTCATCAGGCAGCGCAACCCCTCCCAAGGAGGCCCGTGAGAGAAATTGGCAACCCAGTAGTTCTTACCCCAGAGAGAGAGCGTATTCTCTTGATCGGCTGCGTGTGGTCCAGAGCTGCTCTGTTCATGCCCATTCCCACTGGGCAGAGCATTGGACATTAGCTGAGTATTAGCAGCTTGATAGCGCCGGACAGTGCGGGAAGGCCCAGTGTGCTGGGAGGAGACAGGGGAGCCAATTCTGCCTTGAGTCCTGTGGAAAAGAATATTTATTACAGATGACCTTTCCAGCCTCCTGCAGCTGTGCCCTGTGT